TTGATATTATATATGAAGCTATTACAAATATCTGTGTTCAGATTTTTGTGTGAACATAAATTTTCATTCCTATCGGGTAAATACCTAGGAGTGTGATTATTTGGGTTGAATGGCAAATGGATATTTTAACTTTAAAGAAATGTTTTCCAATGAGCCTGCATTCCTACTAGCAGTCTAGGAGAGTTCCAGTTACTCCACATCCTCTGTTCGTCAGCAGTGGCATTGTCTCTCTCTCTCTCTCTCTCTCTCTCTTTTTTTTTGGCTATTCTAAGAAGTATATAGTGATATCTCACTGTGTTTTAAATTTGCATTTTCCTAATGACTAACAATGTTGGACATCTTTTCATGTGCTTATTTTACATTTATATATCATCTTCGGTGAAAATATTCAAATCTTCTGCTCAATTTTTAAAAATACTGGATTGTTTATAGTCTCATCATTGAGTTTGAGAGTTCTTTGTATACGTTGGATACAGGTTCTCTATCAGATATGTATATTGCAAATATTTTCTCCAAATCTGTGGTCTGTCTTTACTTTCCCTTTGTAAGTAATAAGTAATTTATGGGAGATTACTTTTGAGACTGAGTAAATATTTCGTTCCTTATCAAACTTGTGCCCCCTGGTTTTGGCACCTGTTGATTTTCTAACTCCATCATTCCTTCTGTAGTTTTTGGTCGGTGTTGGATGCTAAGGGAGAGCTTCCCCTTCTTTCCTGTATTCTCCTCCTCCCTTCTTCCTTCTTTCCCCTTCCCTCCATTGTGGAGTCACAGCCCATCAGTCATCCCAGCCAGCACAGTAATTCCTCTCTTTGCCTGTTGATTCAGAGGCACGAGGAGTCCAAAACATATATGCTTCTCAGCGAACGAAGCTTCTGGTTGCCAAAATTTGATACTGTCAGTCTTCTGAGCTCTGCCGTTCTAGTGGTTATGAAGTGGTACCTCAAAGTGATTTAATTTCTATTTGCATGATGACCAACGGTATTGAGCCCTTTTAGTGTGCTTATTGGCTAGTCATATTTCTTCCTTGGCGAAGTGTTCACATTTTTCGCCCATTCTTGTATTGGGTTGTTTCATTTTAAAAATTGATTTGTAAGAGGTTTTTTTTTTGTTTGTTTGTTTGTTTTTTTAATGTATACATAAACGGGATATAGGCCTTTTTCAGATTTCTTTCTTTTCCCATTTGGATATGTTTCTTCTAGCACCATTTGTTAAAAGACTCCCTTTCCTAATAAATTGCTTTGCTATCTTTGTGGAAAATAAGTTGAGCACACATAAGTGTATTTCCGGATCCTCTATTCTGTTTCATGGATTTAGTCTTATGCCAGTACCACACTGTGTTGATTACCATGGCTGTATAATGCGTCTTGAAATTAAGCAGTGTAAGTCCTTGAACCTTTTGCCTCTTCCTCAAGATGTTTTGGGTATTCCAGGTTTTTCGGCTTCCCATATACATTTTAGAATCAGCTTGTCAGTTTCTTTAAAAAGCCGATGGGGATTATTATTAGGATTGCATTGACTCCATAGATCAATTTGGGGAGAATTAACATCTGCAATACCGAGTCTTCCAACCCATGAACTGACTATATCTTTCCATTTATTTAGATCTTCTTTAACATCTTTCAGTCATAGTATATAGTTTTCCACTTGGTGGCCTTGTATATCTCTTATTTATTTATTCTTAAGTATTGGTTCTTTTTTGATGTTATTGCAAATGGACTTGTTTCAGAATTCCATCTTAAAACTGTGTGATGTGAGTGTATCTAATGTCATTGATTCTTTTAGCTAATCACCTTGTATTTTATGGTCATTTATGGATCTTCCTAAATTCACTTATATATTCTAGTAGTTATTTTGTAGATAGGATTTGTTATATAGTTAATCATGTTGTCTAGGAAAAAAATTAGTTTTAATTCTTCCTTTTCAATTTTAGTAAGTTTTATTTCCTTTTCTTATTGCACTGGCTAAGACCTCACAATATTGAATAGAAGGTGTGAGATTCGGCATTCTGGCCTTTTCTAATCTGAAATGCTTTGTACTTTGTTTATCCCACAGCTCAGAGAGGTCTTATTGACATTTGGTTTTATCATTGATCTCAGCATCATATTTAATTCCTTTATATCATTTCCCATAAATTACAGTTATTTCACTTGTTTACTACTTTATTGTCTGCCCCTTACACAAACCCATAAGTCTCTTATGGGAAACACTCTGTCTTCACCAACATATAGCACGGTGACTCTTAGTAGACACTCAGTAAATGCTTTGTCAAATGAGTAAATTTTAGTGGGAACTTTCAGCAGTTATGCAGTCTGTCCTCCTTCCCAGTGTTTGAACCTCCTTGGTAAAACCTAGGACAGGTATTATTTCTTACAAGATTTTTTTCATATTTTTCTTTCCCTCTTTTTAATTTTTTAGGTGGTTATATTTCAATTTCCCACAGAAACCATGTATATTTGATGCTTTCAAAAGTTCTTAATTCATCTTTTATAAAAGATAATACAATTCTTTCTACTAATTTTTGCAAAATATTTTAGTGGCAAATTGGGATAGTTTGCCTTTCCTGGATGTTACATACACTCGGAAGTTAATCAGTATTCAGGCAGTTTGCAGTGGTTCAAATATAGAAACAAGGGTAAACACATTCCACAGTTACCGAGTAAGCAGGTGTTGGCTCACTACTTTTTATTCTTTGAAATCTGGAGAAATCGCACCGATGAAGTGAACCAGTTAGGCAAATTATTTCCTTATTTTTGCCCTTTAGCTTTTGTTCTAATCTGAGTAGTGATTCATTTTTTTTTTTAAATGTAATTTAAGTCTAATGAAGGTAAATTGCATTCAGCCTGGAACACAATGATCTAGGATGTATCCAAAAGGCAAAATATCTTTCTTCTGGCTGCCCCATTTTAACAGCTGCTGTGATAGAAAGTAATGCTTCAGTTTATGTACAGACACGAGGAAAATACTGTTTTTTTCCCCCTATATGATGTTCCAAATAATTCTTTGGCTTATCTTACACATTGATGATGGAAATTGCATTAAAGAAGTAGGTAAACAACATATTAAGTTGGATGTTTATTCATTCAACTCCCTTTCTTCATCCTCCTCCTTTCTTTCCCCTCCCTTCCAGTTTACAAGTGGAGATTTCAACAGTCCTCCACCGATAATGGAGAGAATAAATAGACATTCAGTAAGACTTAGAGCACCCGGACAAGCCTATCAACCAACTTGGCCTAATTGCTTTCTTACTTTATTTAATGAAACACTCCACCCTATATACTGTTTTTCTTTTTTTTTTTTCAAGTACCCTTGAAACATTCACCTAGAGGGACCAAGTTTGGGACCAAAACCAAGTTTCAATAAATTTAAAAGCATTGGAAGTCCTACTGAATGTGTTCTCTGACCACAACAGAATTAAACAGAAATCAATATCCCAAAAATACCTGAAAAAAAAAAAACCCAAATATCTGGAAATTAAACTACACATTCCTGAATGACTCCTGAGCCAAAGAAGAAATGACAAGGGAAATTGGAAATTACTTTGAAATGAATGAGAGCAAAAAGTCAACCTTTCTCATTTAAAATAAAAATATTAACATGCAAATCGGTAGAGATTCACATCTTCAGTTCGTCCTACTCATCTGCTTCTTGAATTCCCTACTCCCTCCATATGTTGGCCTTGCTGCAGTTCCTTGACAATATGGGCCGTGCTGCTGCTGGAGCTGTGCACCCAGCCCCTGTTAGTCTGGTCTTGCCAATTTAACCAAGTAGTCCAAATACCTTTCTTCTAGTTCCACTGAACAAACATTTACCGTTTTCAAAGGTCATGTTCCTGGAAGCATGGAGGGGAATTTATGGGGCAACGACAGACAAGCTCAAGTTATATAACTCTTACGTTAACTTGAATGAAAATCTTTTCAAAGCTGCTTCCTTCCTGTCCTACCTGGGGAGTTCTGATCTACCTTTGGCCAACATTTTAGACTTTTTGTGAGTCTTTCTTCACTTTTTTTCCCCTGTGACTTCTGTCTCTCCTAACAATCCTTTAATTGTTTGGACCTTCTCATTGCTTTTGACTTTTCATAATCTTCCAGTATCTCTGCCCTCAGTCTGGTGTCAGCTTGTCCTCTCCAGCTTCATTCATTCACTGAGGCTTGACTAGGTGCAAGGCATTGAGCTGGCCACTGGGTTTGGTACTGGGGTGGGAGACTTGTAAATCAGATAATTAACCTGGGTGAGCACTTTGGCAGTGGCATGTTGGAAGGGCCATGCAAACAAACATTCTTTCAACGCATATTTATTGGCCTCCCACTGTGTAGCAGGCACTGTGCAATGGGGGGGGGGGGACAAACAAACATTCTTTCAACGCATATTTATTGGCCTCCCCCTGTGTAGCAGGCCCTGTGCAATGGGGGGGGGGGGTATCCCGGGCAGAAGGTCCTGATTGCTCGAAGATGAGGCGTGGATCTGGGAATGGGTGATCTGCTCTGGCACGAGGTGTTTGGTAGGGACTTGGAGGGACTTGAGCTAATAAGTGGTGCGAGAAAAGGCTAGAAAGGTTAGGAAAGTACTTCTTTTTTTTTTTTTCTTAAGGGAGCTGTAGTTCTGTTTCTGTGGGCGTAGCATTTATTAGCTCCGTGGTGACTCTTACCAACTTCTGTATTACCTGTATCCCTGATTTCTTTGGTTAATCTTCCACTTGTTCCGGTGACCAGTAGCACTAAGTGGTGGTAACCACGAGCACTTGTTAATTGTGCATTTTTTAAAAGTGGGGGGGTGGGGGCTGCCAAGAGAGAAGGAACCTCAAAGCAAGGAACCAGGTGTGTGATTCTCTTAACTTTACCTGGATTATTTCCCTTTAGGCGTTAAGTAGCCTCTTGAGACCCCTTTGTTATTTTAAGGGGAGGGGAGGAAGAGGTTGAAACAAATGAATTTGAAAACACCCTGTGGGATACAATTTGCATCCATCGCCCCCAACCCTGAAATTTTTTATTCTTTTTCTTTAGGTTTCTTGCTATTTAAAGATTTTTGTTTGAATGAAATTAATGAAGCTGTACCTCAGGTGAAGTTTTATGAAGAGGTAAGAAGTGACTGTTTTATCAGTGCTTTCATTTCCAAAGCATATTTAAACTGTACTTTGGGAAATATTAAGACTACTAGGTATCTTAGAGATTCGTCAGAAGGAATTAGTACTACAAGATATAGTTTATTGGAGATGCTGACAACAACTCTAAAAATCATATTTTTAAAGCTCTATAGTGTTCTGGAATCAGTGAGGAATAGTTGGACTAAAATTCCAGAGGAGGAAGACTCATTCAGAGGTGCACTGAGCATTACCAGCCATTTTATTTTCTGCAGAAGCTTGCTGATTCTGGACACAGAAGCCGAGGCGGGGGGCTGCTTGCTACTGGGTGAAAGAGACACTAGCAAAGGTTTATGGTCACACATTACTAGAGTGACAAATTGGAGACTTGGTGGGAAAGGGTGGCCTCAAACCCACAGCTGGTTTTCCCAGCAAGACATTGGGAGGGGATCTGAAGAGGCAGGCCAAGAGCTTCTGGAAGACACATTGAAACCTCCCACAGCCTTGTGGTATTAAACGGTATTGAAATGTACACCTGTTGTGGCAGGAATCCGAAAACAGAACAGGCAAGAAATGAAAACCCCAGTGAAGAGCCATAACCACTTATCACCTGGGGTGGCTTCTGGTCCAGGTGTGGGTGGGCAGGTGAGAATCCAGCTTTGGCCCCTGGCAGGAGGCTGCTTCTGGGAGACAGAAAAACCAGAAGAGGTTTCTGGATCTGGAGTAAAAAACAGATGAAGTTGGGAATTCTGTGGCGGTCCAGTGGTTAGGACTCTGCGCTCTCACTGCCAAGGGCCTGGGTTCAGTCCCTGGTCAGGGAACTAGGGTCCCATAGCCGTGTGGTGCAGACAAACCCTCACCCTCCCGCCCCCCAAAAAACAATTAAAAAATTATAACATCAAACATAAAAAAAAAAAAAAAAAAAAAAAAA